TGCTTTTCCTTCATAATCTGAAAAAAAAAGTTTGTAATAGCATCAGTTTTACAAGTGGTAGGTGAACTTTTTAAAAAATCCAGTTAATTACACACTAATCATTACAAATATAGACATTACATCTATTGCAGCAATAACAATGCAACAGTAGCATAAATGAGCGGGTCTTTCCGAGCATATAATTTACTCCCTAGAAATGATTTAGGAGAAAGGAAGTACAGTCTATGTTTAATTGTTTACACTACAGAAACGAAATAGATGGAATAGAAAACACCATAAGTGACCCATAATATGCATCCTGCCACTATTATTATAAAATATTAAGAGGAAACATTTTTTTAAAGGGAAATATATTTTAGAGAAATGTCCATGTTAAGCATCAATGTAAAAAATAAAGGGTATTATTCAATATATTCAAGTTAAGAAACTAGAGGCAGGTATTTCCACAAGTAATTCCACAGATCGCTTACTGTTTATCATGCCACCTTTTTTCCAGGGCTTTGGAATCTCTTGTAGCATTTTCCCAGCACCCAGTGCCTGTCTATTAGAGTTAACATCCTCTTTCTTTGCCCCCCTATCCAAACATTCCCACACTCAGTGCCCCCTGCACCTACAAACATTAATTGGAAAATACTGTCATTTGTTTAAAAAAAAAAAAAAGGCAGTAAAGGGGAATAGATGTCCTGTGATTTCAAGTTGGTTACCTTTCTTTGCCATTTTCACCAACGTGAGACAATCCTCATAGGCATATTTATAATGATAAATGAGGCCAATCACATTTTAAAATAATTTCTGAAAAAGATTCAACTTAACTACAAGTCAGTGTTATTAAACATTTAAATTAGAACATGTTCCTATTTAGTGGTATGTATAAACTCTAGTCATTCAAGAGAAAAATAATAGACCATTGAAAAGCTGTAAATATTCTAGCAGTGAGTCACTGATCAGAGTTTTCAAGATCTGCTTAGAAATACACACATACATTAAAATGCAGTGGGTACCTTTCCCCTGGTGTGACCATGAAGTTTGCTAGCTTGGTCTAGGGCATTACTTGCCAAGCCAAAACTAAGATATTTATTTTAATATGTGAAAAATGAAATGCTGAGTTAATAAAATTGTTGCAAAGTGAAAGGAAAGTGGCACATTCTGAGAACCATTTCCAAACCTGAAACATATTCATACCTGGTACAGCCACACCATAGACATTTGTGTCCTGTATGAAATCCAACATTCCAACAATATCAGCAACCTCTGTGGTTGCAATATTTTCCCCTTTCCATCTAAACAAAAAACAAGTTCCAGTTAGTTACCTATACTTGAAGAATGAGGTGCCCAGCTTTAAGTTTTAGTGTCTTGCATTTGGCTCTGTGCAAGCACCTAATAATAAAAAATAATGGCAGTTTTCAAAATGAAAAACATTTCTAAGGAAGAACTTTTTTGAGAAGTCAACAAAGTCAGTATCTGTTTTTTATTTAAAATTACATTATCTGTGTCTCATTGGTATCAACTGCTACTGTAAAAGGTTTTTTTTTAATATGTCATAAAAAATAAGATAACAACGAATCCCTCTTTGTTTTGTAATATAATAACAGTGAAGTACAAAGAAAGCATTCTCTATCTCTAATGATAGAAAAAACTGAAAGGAAAGCTATAGTTGTCTTTTGGTGTACTGACCCCCTTTAATTTCTAGGAATTAACCCCTTTGGCTCTTTTAATGCATATGAATGTTTTAATTAAAATGATTTGACAGGCTTCCCTGGTGGCGCAGTGGTTGAGAGTCCGCCTGCCTATGCAGGGGACACGGGTTCGAGCCCCGGTCCGGGAAGATCCCACATGCCATGGAGTGGCTGGGTCCGTGAGCCATGGCTGCTGAGCTTGCGCGTCCGGAGCCTGTGCTCCGCAACGGGAGAGGCCACAACAGTGAGAGGCCCGCGTACGGCAAAAAAAAAAAAAAAAAAAAAGATTTTACATAACGTGACCTCCTAACATGACACAAAGAAGGTGAGGAAATATAATTCATTTATTCATTCAACGTTTTTGTACTGTCTACTGTCTGTCCTCTACTGTTCTACAGTCATTGATTAGTAAAGCAAAATAAATTCATAAGCCTAAAATAACCCCAAGGAATTAAAAAAGCAAATATAAGAAAGGGAAATTTTGCTGTTTCACTATTTTTGCCATTAGGTCAAGAATTAGACCATATTTGACTAAATTGGTTTTCTGTTTTAACCCTACCATTTAGACTTCACATAAGCCTGCCTGTATCATATGCTAAAAAAAAGGAGCTCACTGATTTGGATCCAAAAGATTCGTTAAGATAATTACAAAAATGACATCAAAATGTAACTTATGTTTCAATCTAGAAACAGATGGGCAGTGAATTTTTAAACTCGGAGACATTATTGAGATAAAAGCTCTCCGTTCCCTGAAGATAGGCAGCAGGTGGTGTATAATGTTTCCACAGAGCCTCACTCAGAGCAGGGTTCACAATCACGGAGCATGCTTTGCAACCGACGCTATTTCATACCTGAAAGTGTCTCCAATACGGTCCCAAAAATAAAGAAAATTCTCCTGGTCTTGGACCATTAAATCTCCAGTGTTAAAGTAAACATCTCCCATCTTAAAAACATCACAAAGCAATTTCTTTTCTGTTTGCTTCCTATTTCCAGCATAGCCAAAGAAGGGATTCTTTGCATTCACTGGAGAAATGAGAAGTCCAGGTTCCCCTGGGAGAGAGGTATTTTCAGTGATTTGATTAAAACTATTATTACACACACCATGCATGTACCTAAGTTACATATGACCAACACATCCAGTGTAGCTTATATTACTTTCCTCTGAACTTATTTTTATTATATTTGACATCAATTACTCTGGGTGCCTAAATCTAACACCGTTTCACAGACTGCCAAAGCACAAATCACTTTGGAAAAACTAACAAAAAGGAAATTGAATATAAAGAAATGAATATTAAATTTATTTTACATCCTGGGTGGATACAGCCATGGCTACTTTTTTTGATTATGTAGATTCTAACACTGATAATAATGACAATTATATAAATAACAACTACAATAATAATTTTAAATAAGATTATGATGGTAGCAATATTTATTTATTGGGCACTTACTATGGAGCAAGCCCCATGAGAAATGCAACTGTCACCTTATTAATTTTTCAAAGAAATCCTTTGAAATTCATCATTATAATCCCTATTTCACAGGGAAGGCACTAGGGTCCAGAAGAAGGAAGTATGTTAGCAAAGTCCAACAGATAAAAAGGAATGGACCTAGAACTCAAATTCAAGTCCCTATGATTTTTCTGTACAATATTATCTCTGATTTAATAAATATGTTATTAGAAGATAAGAATATGTTTTATTCCTCTGGAATGTTACTCTGGAAATCCCCAATGGACAGGAGATAAGGCACGCAATTTATTAGTTTTAATTACATTTAGACACATTATTTAAAATAATTTTTAATCAGACTTATTCAAGTTAATCAAGACACTGCCCAGCAATCAACAAGGTAAAAAACTACTAAGAGTAGAAGACAAAGGGGAGCAGTAATCACTTCCCCAGAAGATTTCAAGGCCATTGTTGACTTGTTTTGGCCACTGTGAAGACAACTAACATCTATGTGATGGGTTAGATGAGGCTGTATTCCAGCAAACTCTAAAGCAATTTATGTCATTTTAACACTCTTTTTTCAATTCTTATTGCTCCCACTCCTCTGGACATTATAGGTTCCAAGGGCACACATATCACTGGCCCAAACTAGCCTGCCCTGACTCAGCAGGGACCCCTCACTGTCACTGTCATCACCAACACCATCATTATCATCGTTAGCATAATCACTGCCATTGTTACACTTATTGAGCACTCTCTGGGTACCAGTCACTATTCTGAGCACTTTACATATGTATCCCATCTCATCCTCATCACAAACCTGTAAGACAGGGCCTCATATTGTCTTCATTTTACAAGTGAAATTGAGGAAGAAAAAGTAATTTGCCCAATATTACACAGCTGCCAAATGTTGAAGTTGGAATATTTTTAACCAGGTCCATCTGACTCCAAAGGCTCTTCCTCCCTCGCATATCCCATCCATCTACATCCCCTATATAAATTTCAGAATTTTCTAAGCCTCTTATATTTCCCTTAAAATTTATGTTCTTTATTTTTCTTCTTCAGGACACAGGTGATAGTTTCTTCACTGACAAATTAATTATTGCAAATGCTTATAAAGGTCAGAGTGCTCCCTCCCAGGCATACTTTATGAAAGACACAATGCTTTAATGTAAAATAAAATTGAGCAACCCATAATGAGAATTACAAAATTGTAAAGCAGATATTTGGGGACAATCTGTTTTTGAAAAACCCTGAGGTTGCATAAGCATTTCTGAGATTCAAGTTCCAATATCAGATATTATTGTAATTGTAATAAATAAAACACACTAGAAAAGAGTGCTTAAATAAAGTTCTTTGCAATCTCCTTAGAAGTGACTTTTTTCTTAGCTGCTGTCTATAGAGTTGAATTAGAGAAAGATATTTGATAAACGTTCTTGAAATTCAGAGGATTGGGAAATTTGCTTCTTAAAAGACAAGGCTTATATTTTTGTCCAATCTTTCAGCTACCAGGAAAACAACCAAAACACCAAAACCAAAACAAAGAAACCCGGGTCTGTGACCTTTATCTCCATATTTGAAGTCATCTCTGAAATGTAGTTTAAACATATTCTGAGGCAGTAAAAAGTAACTTTGGCCTGATTCTTTCAGACTGGATCTCAAACCAATTCTAAGGGCACATCTCTACATTTAATTTTCTAGATTGATTATATGCAGCTGCATGTTAACTGGGGCAGTTGCTTTCATTAAAATTTCTAACCCAAAACTATGAGAAAGACTAGCCTGGTGGAAGGGGAGTGGGAGGAAGAGAAAGGGAGGGAGGTAACTGGCCACATGACAGGCCCTCCAGAGGGCTCTGCATACATCATCTCATTAAACTATCAACAATCACCTCCCCAAAGAAATACTGCCACCTCTACTCTGCATGTGAAGAAAATGAGACTCAGACAGGCTGAGTGACCTACCCAAAGTTGGACAGTTTCTAAGTGTGAGAGCCCAGATTTAAATCCAAGTCTGTCTCAATTTCCACTATACATAGAATCATAAATTGCCATTCATTTTTATATTATACCTTGGTGGTACAGGACATCAGACATATGCCACTGTAAGAGTGGTGGATTAAGAAAACTATAAGCCCACAGTAATCACTTTTAAATTTTCGTAATTACCATCTGAGTGACCCACGTGGGGCCTCTAACTTTAATAATTAAACCATTCTACCTGCATTAAAATTCCAAATAAGTCACATATTAGAAATAACCATTCTTTCTCTTCTAAATTCAGTAATTAAAGAGAAATTCAAGAACTTTGCCCGAGGAGACATCTTCAAATACAAGAATCTTACCTTTTCTCACGTGACTACACCAGCCCTGTTCATTTCTAATGGGTTCATCTTTCTGAAAATCATACTTTATCAAGTGAAAAGTAAAAAAAAGCTGCAAAAACAGAATGAAACAAAAACAAGATTTAGTTATTTATTTGTACAATGACATCTCCCGGTAGTAGATTTAAATCTCAGTCAATTGAAATACAGAATTAGAATGTGGATTTATTAAAACAAGTAAGCTTTCCTGGTAAAAAGTTAAATAAATATTTAAAAATCAAAACTGAAGGTGTTAGTAACCAGCGCTCATGTACTGGCATTTACTTTCACTTCTTATATGTTGCACCTTACCTTAGAAAAGCCTTACTAATTCTAATCTTTTCTTTTTAAGTTTTTTTTTTTTTTGATGTGCACCATTTTTTAAAGTCTTTATTGAATCTGTTACAATATTGCTTCTGTTTTATGTTTTGGTTTTTTGGCCCCGAGGCATGTGGGATCTTAGCTCCCCGACCAGGATCAAAATCTTAACCACTGGACAGCCAGGGAACTCCCCTAATGTGAGTACCAGGAAGCAATCCCTGCACAAAATCACATACTCTGCTAACTATAGTTAAGAGGATACTTTCTTGCCTTCTCTTTTTTGCAATCTTTCAAACATCCCTTGAAATGGAAAGTTTTAATAGAACTAAAATGTCAACTATGTGAATGCAAGGATTGTGTTGTGTATTTTAACTTACCATCCCTTGAAAAGGGATTAGATGCCTCAAAAGTACTTGTTTTTGTCACTTACTTAGACCTTTTCCCCAGGCTTTTCAACTTAATGTCCTTAAACTAACCCTCAGTACTTCTGTACACAGTTGTGGTGTAAGATGGAAATGTGTTGGAACATCCATCGGGAAACAAGCTAATCGGACATCTCTCCTTGACCCCCAATATTTCCAGCTCCTCTGCTATTTTAACATTCATATTACCATGTCATGCAGATTCACAGATCCTCAAAATCTGACCCTGGGAGAGAACTGCAGATTGGTTCAATCCAACTCCTTCATTTCATGCATAAGAAAATTGAGGTTTTCCCAATCAATTAAACAAGCAATCTTATTAAGCTGAACCAGCACGTAGTAAACTAAAATGGAGGTGATAAAATGAAGTGAGAAAAAATAATTAGGAAGGACAAACAAAGGAGAGAAAGAGAGAAGAAGGAGGAGCATGAGGAGAAGGAGAGAAACAAATAAAGAACAAATGGGAAAATATGAATAAAATTAATGAGATAAATGTAATAGTATAATTTATTATCAAAGACTAAACAAACATCTCAGGAAAGTCAGCATGTAACTACAATCACAATTCATTGTTTCAATTAAAATACAAATGAGAGCAACTAATATATATATATATATTATAAATTTATTTATTTATTTACTTATTTATTTATTATTTTTGGCTGTATTGGGTCTTCGTTGCTGCGTGTAGGCTTTCTCTAGTTGGGGCAGTGGGGGCTACTCTTTGTTGTGGTGTGCGGGCTTCTCATTGAGATGGCTTCTCTTGCTGCGGAGCACAGGCTCTAGGCTCTCAGGCTTCAGTAGTTGTGGCTCGTGGGCTCTAGAGCACAGGCTCAGTAGTTGTGGCACACGGGCTTAGTTGCTCCGCGGCATGTGGGATCTTCCCAGATCAGGAATTGAACCCGTGTCCCCTATATTCACGGGCAGATTCTTAACCACTGCGCCACCAGGGAAGTCTGAGAGCAACTAATATTGATTGAGTACTTACTGTATCTCAGTCACTGTGCTAAGAGCTTTTAATTTAATAATCAAAAACCCTATAAGGTAGAAATTAATATTATCCTATTTTAAGATGAGGGCCAATGAAAGAGACAGCAAAGCAAAAAAATTTTTACTCTTGACATAAAGATTCTTATTAAAATGCAAGCTTGCATCTTGTTGGTCTTTGTCTGTAATTGGGCTAATAAGATATTGGCTACTTGCCTAATGACTGGTCAAAAGAAAGATTCCAGAGGTTCCAGAACTGCATTTATCATTTTGGCCAAACTAGAACAGAGTCCTGTTTATTACTCTCTCGTGTTTTAACATGCTTTATATTTTGAAAAATTTGCCCAGCAACTGGTAATATCATCTTTAACATGATTTCTTTTAGATTAATTTGGCAACCACACGCATGGGTAAGATTCATTCCACACCAAATCACTGTTCATTGCACCTGTTATCAGATACAGGGGACTTGATGGTCAGAAATTGAGTAACTTTATAATACAAATGAAATTTAAATATATCACAGCACCTTCTAGAAGTAGCCTGGATCAGAACATTAAGTTTCAGCTAGACGGATTTCTATTTTTTTTCCTTCCTTCAAGAGGACCCATGAGGTTACAAAAATGGTTATATTATAATAACACAAATAAAGAAATAGATGCCACACTTCAGTATCTCCTAAATGTATACTATACATACATGTACAGGTATAGGTATAGCAAGAGGTATACATGGCCTGAACACAGCTGCAGGGGGTCTCATTTGTAACAGTCTAGACAAATGGGTCCCCAGAACTGTACAGCATACATCTATGTGACTGTGCACACTGGCCCTTGCAGTTCCCACACATACCTGTACGCTTTTGCATATTGAGATTTGTAAATTTAGAAGTTAGAAAGGAAACACAAAAATTATTTCCTCTATAAATAAATGAGTAGACTTTGAATCCCGAAGAAAGTGACTTGTCAAAGTCAAAAAGTCAAGTAGTGGCAGAGCTGGAACTAGAGCCGTAGGTACAGTGATTCCAATTCAGGATTTTTTGCCTCAGTGTTATACTACATTGCTTTGACCTATACAGTACAGGCTCATTTATCCCACACCATAGACAAAGGGTGGTTTCTCTGTTTCCTTAAACAGAAGACCCTTAAAAGATACACACACACACACACACACACACACACACACACACACACTCATAAACTTATCATCTCTCTCTATCATAAATATACATTTATATACCTATAGTAACATGTAATATTATATAAAGTTGGGACATTATGAATACTCATTTCTAGGATGCACTGTTATGCAACAGCATAGTTTTCTGAATGGTTCGCAGACTTGTATTTAAAAAATAATCATTTAAAAAAATCAAGTAAAACAGAAAAAGAAGAAAAAGTTAAATTTCCCCAAATTTTAACCAAAAGTAAACCATTCTTAACATGGTGTAATATATTCTCAATACAAAGTGATCCCTGGCCATTCTACCTAAAATTTCAAAAACCGCCTCCCAATACATATGCACACACACACAATCTCCTTTCCCTGTTTAATTTTCCTCTTTTGCACTAATGAGTATGTGCTATAGACTGTATTTTATTTATTGATCTTGTCTGTTTTCTGTCTTCCTCAATAGAACATGACCTGCACATGGGCAGGAATTTATGTGCCTTTTGTTCACTGTGCTCACTTGTGTCGGGCATACTGGAAACTTATTATAAATATATATAAAGAAGGCATTTGATGAACATCATTACAAATGCATTTAAATCAATAGAGGGAAAGGTATGAAACTGATTAGTAAAATAATTTATGAAAAATGAAACCACACCATTCTAGTAAATGCAATCAATTTAAATTTTCTTGAATTTAACAAAAGAATATGGAACCAAAGTTAAACTAAAATGTGTCTTTAGCATAAGAGATACCAGTCCCTATGGGGTCAAAGAATTTAATTTTAGGCGCAAATTTAATTAGAGGCCTGGCCTTTGCTCTCAGCTTCTGGGAGATAATCTCAAAGCCCTCACAATGTCATGAGGGACAGGACTTTTTATTTGCCTAAGGACCTTGGGCAACCAGATAGTAACTCTATGATTGGGAGTGGGTCTCTGAGCCACACCAATAATGTTATGTAGGGTTGGGGCTTTGGGTCACCCAGCTTGACCTCCTGAGGGACTGGAGATGGAGGTTGACCACAGTGGCAGCCAACTAGATTTATAAGATTGAGTCCCCACAAAAGACTCTGGACACACACACACACACACACACACACACACACACACACACACTCATAAACTTATCATCTCTCTCTATCATAAATATACATTTATATACCTATAGTAACATGTAATATTATATAAAGTTGGGACATTATGAATACTCATTTCTAGGATGCACTGTTATGCAACAGCATAGTTTTCTGAATGGTTCGCAGACTTGTATTTAAAAAATAATCATTTAAAAAAATCAAGTAAAACAGAAAAAGAAGAAAAAGTTAAATTTCCCCAAATTTTAACCAAAAGTAAACCATTCTTAACATGGTGTAATATATTCTCAATACAAAGTGATCCCTGGCCATTCTACCTAAAATTTCAAAAACCGCCTCCCAATACATATGCACACACACACAATCTCCTTTCCCTGTTTAATTTTCCTCTTTTGCACTAATGAGTATGTGCTATAGACTGTATTTTATTTATTGATCTTGTCTGTTTTCTGTCTTCCTCAATAGAACATGACCTGCACATGGGCAGGAATTTATGTGCCTTTTGTTCACTGTGCTCACTTGTGTCGGGCATACTGGAAACTTATTATAAATATATATAAAGAAGGCATTTGATGAACATCATTACAAATGCATTTAAATCAATAGAGGGAAAGGTATGAAACTGATTAGTAAAATAATTTATGAAAAATGAAACCACACCATTCTAGTAAATGCAATCAATTTAAATTTTCTTGAATTTAACAAAAGAATATGGAACCAAAGTTAAACTAAAATGTGTCTTTAGCATAAGAGATACCAGTCCCTATGGGGTCAAAGAATTTAATTTTAGGCGCAAATTTAATTAGAGGCCTGGCCTTTGCTCTCAGCTTCTGGGAGATAATCTCAAAGCCCTCACAATGTCATGAGGGACAGGACTTTTTATTTGCCTAAGGACCTTGGGCAACCAGATAGTAACTCTATGATTGGGAGTGGGTCTCTGAGCCACACCAATAATGTTATGTAGGGTTGGGGCTTTGGGTCACCCAGCTTGACCTCCTGAGGGACTGGAGATGGAGGTTGACCACAGTGGCAGCCAACTAGATTTATAAGATTGAGTCCCCACAAAAGACTCTGGACATCAAGGCTGGGTGAGCTTCCTGAGTTGGCAATAATCCATGTATTGTCACATATCAATTCCAGAAGAGGAATATCCTCCCGACTTCACAGGAGAGGACAACTGGAAGCCTTGCATTTGGTACCCTCCTGGATTCTACCCTACTGCTCCTTCCCTTGACTGATGTTAATCTATATCCTTTAGGTGTAATAAACTGTAACTATTATATGGCTTTGGGTGAGTTTTGTGTTCCTTCCAGTGAATTATCAAACTTAAAGGTAGTCTTAGGGACTCCCAAGCTGCAACTGATGTTAGATGTGAAGGTGGTCCCACGTGAACTGTTTTCTAACTTCACAGTTGGCTAAATTTCTTAGTCTCTAAAAGATGCCTACTTTAAGACAATAAAAAAAAGTTTATACAAATGTGAGCAAAAGGAGCCTGTTTATTAAGTCTCATACTTTATCTTTACTTTGTATCTATGGATTTACCATCATAAAAGATGAGATAATCAATACTTATACCTTCTTCTCTCCTCCCACACAATTCTCATTTTTGTTAGTTATAAGTATTTTTATATTGTCAGGATTTATACTTCCATTCGATCTATAAACATAATTCAGAGCTTTTCAAAAATCCTCTATATTTAAGTGGATTCAAGCAAACCTTTCAACTGAAGGTGGTTCCTTCAATTTCTAAACTGCTTTATCTTCATGTTCACTAGAATTTTTCATTCAGTGAATATAAAGAAGTAGTATATTCCTGTAAGTACATGGGAATTATATTCTCTGATTTCTTAAAAGTTTGAGAACACTACTTTGTTGCTTTTGGACTTGAAGGATAAGTTTTTAGAACTAAAATTCTTAGGTGAAAACATTACGTTCTTTTTGGGGGAGCACTGAGTGTAATGTTTTTGTTTTGAAAGATCCCTGAGACATTTCCCATCTTCACCGTATACTTTGTACATCTTTTGCTTTTTCTGCCTTAGCATCTTCTTATGGTTCTTCAATTTACGTTCAGTAATTTCACCAGAATATATATACTTCCTGATGATCATTCTGTACCATATTTTTTCCCCCTGGAACAGAATGTGCTCTTTTGCTAAAGATTCAAATCTTTATTTTCAGGAAGTTTTCTTCTATTAGGTTTCAAATAGTTTTTTTCACTTTGATTTGTTTTCTTCTACCAGAACATGAACGAACCACATGTCAGATCATTGTCTATGCTTTCAAAATTTACCTTTTTAATTTATTTTATATTATTATTGGCTTATTCTTTACATCTGTGTGACTCCTTAATCCCATCCATCTTGCTAACAATGTTTTCAGTCTTGTTTATTTTTAAGTCCTTCAGTGTGGTGTTCAACTCTGTAATATTTTCATTTTTCCCTTTTATTCTTTTTCCTTTGGGTTGAGTATGCCTACTTTCCAACTCCATTTGTTGATCTATGATTTCCTTGCATTTTCCTTTGAGCTCTTATGTTTAAAGAGAACATTATTACAATTTTTTGAACCTATGGGAAATTGTTTTTCTAAACATTTTCTGGCCATTTGGGGGGACTTATTATTTTGATATTCATCCACATATTTTTAGCTGTTTTTTATTTAGATTCATTTTCTCTCTTTCTTTCAAGTTTTATTTCCTCTATGAATATCATGTTTGTTCCTTCCCAATTATTATTACTGGGCATAGAAAAGGAGAAGGCAGTCCCCAATTTTTACTTGGATTTGTCTCTCAAATGCACTGTCACTAAATTTTTTATATTATTTGCTTTGGGGGCGTATATAGGACACACCTCCCTTCAGTTTCATGCATTTAAATAGTAAGCATAGCACAGAAGAAGGACATTTGGGTCAGAGGAACTCTGTTGCTGCTTCATCTTTTTCTTTCAGTTTTAACATCCTATCTCCATTTAGAGGCTGATTCCTCTCTCAGATGGTAAGTGTAAACCTCCAATAAGTTTAAATTTTTGAGAGATGCATTTAAATCTCCTCACATAGTTATGAAACAGTTATTGGTCCAATTTTTTTCTGATTACCTGCTATGTGATGAAACAACATGCAAATGAAATGATAAAAGACTAGAATTCATATGACATTGGGTACTTTTTTTTCATTTTCAAACTGAAAAAAAAAAAACAGAAAAAAAATCAGAAGTTGCCCAAATAAATTGGAGACAATCATAACTTCCTGCATTATGGACATTATAACAGTGTGACAGGGACTTTAAGATATTAGAAAATTATAATGAGGTCAAGCCAGTAATACAAAATATAAATCTTCATTGTATTCCTATTACATGATTACTTAGGAATGACTCAGCTTCACCAAAAAGCTTTAATTATGAATACCAAATTTTTAACGGAACCAGTGCAATCCATTGAGAAAATTAACTGTAAAGAATGTAATAATACTCAGTAATATCAGCACTTACTTTCCCCCAATTATTTTTGTTCACAATGCACATGTATTTCTGAAATGTCAACAAAACCCTCACAGTCCCATAAAACGCATTATAAAAATAGTTTGTACCTTCTTTAAGTTTCAAACATTAGGGCAATTTATACCAGCTTTGAATCTATTTCTTTACTCTTTAAAAATTATACTTTTATCTCTTTTGATAATCCTCACTAAATGTTTCTTTTTACTTTTTTAAATTATGCTTTTTATTACTTCCTTCCTTTTATACTCTTTGAGTTTATTTTAGTTGTTTTTTAAAATTAACTTACAGAAATGGATATTTAGCTCACTAATTTTCAGCTATTCTTATCTGAGCTTTGAAATGTAACATTTTCATTATGATTCAGCTTAAATTATTTTCTATTTCTATTTTTCTATTATGATTTTTTTCTTTGACTCAGAAATTTAGAGATGTTTCATTTCCAAATATATAGGAGATGATCTAGCTGTTATTTTAAACATTTCTATCTTAATTAAACTGTGGTCAGAGAACATAATCCATATATACTCAAGCCTATGAAATTTGCTGGAATTCCCTATGTGGTCCTGTAATCTTTGTGAATGTGTGATAAACGCTTAAAAATAATGGATATTCTGCAGTTTTTAAATGCAGTGTCCTATATATGTTCATTAGTTCAAATAGTTTAGTTATTGTATTATTCTAATACACTATGTCATTGAAAAAACTTTTTGTATGTTCTATCAAATAGTAAAGAGCTAAAACAAAATATTCTACTATGATTCTGGATTTGTTTATTTCCCCTTGAGTTTATATACATTTTGATACTTTTTTAAAATTTTCATTTTTATTATTTAAAAATATTATTGTTGAATATAAATTCTACTTTGATAATTATTTCCTCCAAACAAGTTGAAGATATCTGTCCACTATATGTTGTCTTCCATGGTTGCTATTGAGAAATTAGCTGTCTTTTACTCCTAAGGAGGTAATTTTTTGGCTACTTTAAAAATTTTAGTGATATCTTGACATAGTTTTTAAGGAAACCATATATTAGAAGCCTACATATAATTTTCGAGTGATATAAAAATGAATGGAAAGTAGTAATAGTGGATTGAAAACACAGAAAATGGAGTCAAATTAATATATATCGGGACCTATGCTTGTTTATACATTATATCATTAAATTTGAAAACTGAACAAAAGAACTATCATTATTCCCATATGACAGGGGGAAAAGATGGGAGATAATTGAGGTTTTCACAGTCTATGGCACCACAGTTCATCTAGAGGCCACTATGTTATTTATAGAAGTTCTCAAATTTAAAAAAAGGTGATAATATTTAGCATAATTTACAAGCACAAAGTCTAGAGGAGAGGTTAGCAGATCTCAATATATTTCTTTTGTAAAGAAAATATTTTACTTACTTTGTGAAGGAAATTCGTTCTCCCAACTGATCCAATTTTCCCAGTGTGATTCATGAAACAAATGTTTCCTTCAGTAGCTCCATAAAGCTCACACATCTTAATATTTCCAAATCTGTCTAAAAATTCTCTCCATACGTCACTCCGTATGCCATTTCCAACTGCCAAACGTACCCGATGATCCTTTTCTCCTTCTCTCTATTAGAAGAAAAGATTTTACTAGTAATTTATTATTTCCAGTTCCCAATTTTTTCTTTCATTGCTATTACTTAAATAGCAACCATCCAGAAGTAAGTTGAATGTGTGCAATAATGCAAAGGAGTAAAAAAAATATCATGTAAGTCCATGGCAGAACTAAGTCCAATAGCTAATGAAACTAACACTGGTCCAGAGTAATACAGCTTTATTTCCCTATATCTGGCAAAATCGCTTCCTAAATTTGAGATGCTGAAGTCTTATTTTTCCTGAAATATGCTTTCTTCCTTACCAGAATGGAGGTTCCTCAAAAAATTAAAAGTAGAACTACCATATGATCCAACAATTCCACTCCTGGGTATTTATCTGAAGAAAACAAAAACTCTAATTCAAAAAGATACTGCACCCCATGTTCATTGCGGCATTATTTACAATAGCCAAGACATGGAAGCAACCTAAATGTCCATCAATAGATGAATGAAAAAAATGTGGTATATACACAACGGAATATTATTCAGTCATAAAGAAGAATGAAATCTTACCATTTGTGACAACATGGATGGACCTTGAGGGCATTATGCTAAGTGAAATAAGTCAGACAAAGAAAGACAAATTCTGTATGATCTCACACACACACATATATATATAAAACAGCCAAAACAAAAACCCAAAACCCTGAGCAGAGAACAGATTGGTGGTTGCCAGGGGCAGGGTGAGGAGCGGGCAAAAATGGGTAAAGGGGGTCAAAAGGTACAAGTTTCTAATTATAAAATAAATAAGTCCTGGGGATGTACTGTACAGCATGGTGACTATAATTAACAATATTGAATTGCATATCTGAAAGTTGCTAAGAGAGTAGACCCTTGAACAACCAGGGATTAGGGACAAGGACCCTCCATGAAGTAGAAAATCCAAATGTAATTTCTAGTTGGTTCTCAGTATCACCGGTTCCACATCCACAGATTCAACCAACTGCAGTTCATGTAGTACTGTGATATTTACTACTGAAAAAAATCTGCATATAAGTGGACATGCACAGATCAAACCCATGCTATTCAATGGTCAACTGTAAATCTTAAAGTTCTCATCACAAGAAAAATAAAATTTGCAACTATGTATGGTATTGAATGTTAATTAGACTTATATTGGTGATCAATTTGCAATATATACAGTATATTGAATCATTACATTGTACACCTGAAACTATATGTTTTATGTCAGTTATACCTCAATTAAAAAATTAGAGTAAGAATATAATATCAGCTTAGTCATGGTAAATCCATGATTCCTTCTGAAGTACCTCCAATCTTACAAAAGTAATACAAAATAACAAGAAATAACAATAAATAGACAACAATAATAGAGAAATCAATTGTCCCTGACACAGTTAAAAATGGTCCAATGAACACATTCTTTACCTTAGTTCCTTCTCCGTCTTAAAGGAGATTTTAATCTATTAACTCTCAAGAACAAAGAGAATGTGAAAGAAAGGTAATTTCACAAACTGAAAGGTGAATAGATAAAAGGCATGAGACTAAGCACAGTAGTTAATTCTGAAATCTAAGCCCATAGTTGGGAACGCAACACATGCTCCTAAGAGTGTCAAGGAAACAACAAAAAAATAAGGAAGGCAGAAGACTTGGTTGGAAATTTGTTTAAGAAGCATCTGCACCCCTAGACACCCTGATTCAGATAATACATCTGGGAGTCTGACCTCTGCACACTGGTCAAACACTGGAGACACTCTCTGGAGAAGCCCAACCTGATACCATTTCAGGGGCAGGAATCTACTGAAAACAGTAAGTTCAATGCAAGCCTGAATACTAAATGGTGAGATCTCAGAGCCAAACTAATCTACAGAGGTAGAAATCAGAATATTGTTCACATTTGGTAGGACAATGACTGATATTTTGATGACAACCAGGGGGAATATCTTCAAGAAGAAAATAAATAAAATTGATTAAAAATACTTGAAGTGTTGTTAAATCATATTCAGAAATTTGGGCTATGATGGAGAGATGAATTAGGAACAGGCATTTAGAAAGCAAAATTTTAAAAGTCAATTATTTTCAGTAATAAAAAGTTAAAAATTGTTATTATATTTTAAATATGTGTCAGCTATGAATAAAATATATATAATTTTTATAATGAAAATCTTATTATCAAAGTATTTTAAAATGATCATAAGTAGATTGGTGCCATAGAGGGAGAAGACACATATGTGTGTGAATATGTGAGTAAAAAGCCAGGTAGATGATAGTTAAGACTGAAAAATCAAGAAATAGTAACATACATGTTTTATTAAGAAATATGGAAGTAAATAAAACCCAAAATATCTTAAAATAATTAAATATGTTTACCTCTAGAGGTCAAGTATTGATAGGAGGGAGTATTGTTTTCTTGAGAGTACTATTTGATTTTTCAGAATTGTAAAAGTACTAATTTAATAAAATAAAAATTAAATTAAAAAAATAAAATAAGAGCCAAGGTGTGGATACATCAGAATCTGATTTGCTGATTTCATTAGGCCCTTAAACCCTTAAGGGTTTAAGGTAAATATTCTACTGATAGAAAAAAACAAACAAACAAAACAAACAAACAAAAAACCTCACTCAATCAAAGTAGCTACTTCCAAGACAGAGGATTATTTTCTACCACTAAATACTACCAGGAGCAATTCTGTCCTGGTTCCAACTCCCATGGGCATGTCCAGTATTGCCGACCTGGCATGGAACTAGCTCTTGGATTTTTCACTGCCATTTTCATATATAAAACATCTAAGGATTTACTCTGCTTTAACAGAGAACAATCTTTTATTTTTATTAATTATTTCTTTAATTAATTTTTTTTGGCTGCATTGGGTCTTCAATGCTGCGCGCAGGCTTTCTCTAGTTGTGGCAAGCGGGGGCTACTCTTTGTTGCGGCTTCTCATTTCTCATTGCGGTGGCTTCTCTTGTTGCTGAGCATGGGCTCTAGGTGCATTGGCTTCAGTAGTTGCAGCATGGGCTCAGTAGTTGTGGCTCACGGGCTCTAGAGTACAGGCTCAGTAGTTGTGGTGCACGGGCTTAGTTGCTCCACAGCATGTGGGATCTTCCTGGACCAGGGATCAAACCCTGCATTGGCAGGCAGATTCTTAACCAGTGCACCACCAGGGAAGTCCAAAGAACAATCTTTTATATGGCATGACTCTTGGATGCTATTCAGGTTAGAGATGGGATTTAGCAAGTATTAATTATAAAATGAGTTGGTACACTCTGGAAAACCAATAAGAAGGTGGTTTACAAACCAAATTCCATAGACTTTAACCTGTGTGGGATATATAGCTATACAAGCTTACTAAATAATTATATTCATCCAAAGTCATTCAACTGATATAGAAAATAAAATCATCAAAACTAGGATAAGGCTTTTGTCTAGAAATTTCAAAGTCATGTATTTAACTCTCAAGATATGTATTTATTTAAAGTATTTAAATATTTATTCTATTTTCCTTTCATTTAAAAGAAAGCCCAGAATATCATGCTTTGAGGAGTATGAAGAAAGATCAACAGATTCATTATTTAGTGTTGTGGGAAAAAAGAGAATGCATATTTCTGCTGTTGTTGATATGCATGCACTCCTAAAACAGTAAAATACAAATGACAATTGATATAAGGGATATAAATTAGTTATTTTCAGTTTATTGAGATATCTAGTTTCAGTGACATTATTCAGATTTTTGTTTACCTAATTAAAATCATGAGCATGGAAATATATATATATATATATATATACACACACATATATATATGAAAATATAATACCTTTATCTATAATAATGATATAAAAATTATATGAAGCTCTGTAGCAAGATCAAAATATATAGTTTTTTAATTTTATTTTATTTTATACATTTTTATTGGAGTATAATTGCTCTACAATGGTGTGTTAGTTTCTGCTTTATAACAAAGTGAATCAGTTAAACATATACATATGTTCCCATATCTCATCCCTCTTGTGTCTCCCCCCCTCCCACCCTCCCTATCCCACCCTTCCAGGCGATCACAAAGCACCGAGCTGATCTCCCTGTGCTATGCGGCTGCTTCCCACTAGCTATCTACCTTACGTTTGGAGTATATATATGTCCATGTCTCTCTCTCGCCCTAACACACCTCACCCTTCCCCCTCCCCATATCCTCAAGTCTGTTCTCCAGTAGGTCTCTGTCTTTATTCCTGTTTTACCCCTAGGTTCTTCATAACATTTTTTTTTTCTTAAATTCCATATATATGTGTTAGCATACGGTATTTGTCCTTCTCTTTCTGACTTACTTCACTCTGTATGACAGACTCTAGATCTATCCACCTCATTACAAATAGCTCAATTTCGTTTCTTTTTATGGCTGAGTAATATTCCATTGTATATATGTGCCACATCTTCTTTATCCATTCATCCGACGACGGGCACTTAGGTTGTTTCCATCTCCGGGCTATTGTAAATAGAGCTGCAATGAACATTTTGGTACATGACTCTTTCTGAATTATGGTTTTCTCAGGGTATATGCCCAGTAGTGGGATTGCTGGGTCATATGGTAGTTCTGGTTTTAGTTTTTTCAGGAACCTCCATACTGTTCTCCATAGTGGCTGAACCAATTCACATTCCCACCAGCAGTGCAAGAGTGTTCCCTTTTCTCCACACCCTCTCCAGCATTTATTGTTTCTAGATTTTTTGATGATGGCCATTCTGACTGGTGTGAGATGATATCTCATTGTAGTTTTGATTTGCATTTCTCTAATGATTAATGATGTTGAGCATTCTTTCATGTGTTTGTTGGCAGTCTGTATATCTTCTTTGGAGAAATGTCTATTTAGGTCTTCTGCCCATTTTTGGATTGGGTTGTTTATTTTTTTGTTATTGAGCTGCATGAGCTGCCTGTAAATTTTAGAGATTAATCCTTTGTCAGTTGATTCATTTGCAAATATTTTCTCCCATTCTGAGGGCTGTCTTTTGGTCTTGTTTATGGTTT